CAATTACACTTATTTATAAAAACAAGAAAACTATTTTAGACGCGATATAGCATATTTGTAAAATAATTTGCGAAATGAAATGGATTATAGTACTTAATTCGATTCGGTTAAGTCACCGGTGAATAATGAAATTATTTTATAAAAGCTTTCCCTGTGTTTACGTTTTAATTTAAAAGCTTTTTCCGATACCTAATACCTTTTACCCCTATGTCGTTCCACTAAGCATCAAGTCGTCTCTGAACTTGTAGTTTTGTTAGAATTACTGAAAGCAACAAACGAGTGTCTTTTTTTTCTTTTAGTTATATTGCTTTACTGAATTCATAAGTGACGTGTTTTTTAGTATCATTTATAATTTACACTCATGTTACATTGTACGATAAAACTGCACCTGACCCAATCTTTTGATAAAATCATAAAAGAGTCATAATGAAACTTTGTATAAAATAAGAGGTCATCGGTCAACATAAGGAACATATAATGCAATAAAGATATTTTTTTCTATTTAACCAGTTAACTGCAATTGATGGGTATACACGTATCTTAAAACTCTAAATGATGTTAACTTTTTTAACTTCGTTTCGCTTTAATCTTTCGTCAGGATATATTATAAATGCATTTGGCTTGTATTTGATGAGTATACAATTCATTATTCAATTTAATTGCGCGCAAAATAAGATATTTTTGAAACTAAATTCCGCACTTAGCGAGTTAAAAAAGAAGAAAATGCTTTTAATGCACGTTCAAAACTGCATGAACTTTTCGGCCAACCAATAGAAGATAGCTTGACGGTCCGCCGAGGTTTACCGCTAGAAATTCCGAGGAGATTTTTAAGCGTGCATCGCACACGCGGCATCGACACGCGATCGAGACGATCGTTCGATGAACGAGGTGTGAAAACAGAATAATTTGGGATTCAGAGGATGAACGATTCGCCAGAAACGGATGAATTTGTATTCAATGTTCAGTTTAATGGTTTTCTTTTCATTAAATGAATTTTGTATACCAATTAATTTCTTTCATTGAAGTTAGTTAATTAGTTGAACAACAAGAATTGAGAAAAGTCGCTAAACTGCACATTCGCCGCATTTTTTTATCCGAATAAAGAATTTCGGATAAGTCGAAGATACGAAACTATGATTCGATCAAAAGACACAATGAAAAAAAATATTTAATAAATTGTTACGCTTTACACATATTATTATGAGCACAATGAAATCCATAATACAAAAAAATTCTACTATAATATGTTTCTCTTTTATAAATTAGAATTTGGAATTACGAATTTGCATAAATATTCACAGTCTAATGGTGATCAACGAATGAAAGATACTTTTAAAGGACTCGACAGCTCGTAAAAAGTTCTAAACTTAATGCGACATTATTGAATCGTCTTAATTGTAGAAACCATTTATCTGAGCTTTCAACGAAGATCTTAAGTGCGGATGAGTTTTCTCAATTAGTAAATAAATATTTTTGAGTAATAAATGATATTCAAAACCTATGAATTGCATGTAAAAACAATATCTATTCTAAGTAATAAGTAATAAATATTCTAATAAAGCTAAGCAAAAACGAAGAAAGAAGTGTCCTTTATACACATCATAATACTTTGAAAGCAGATATCATTTGTTTCGAAGGAAACAAATTTTTTGTTCAACCACGTACAGAAAACGTACTATTAAAAACAATGATTTGCTTTTCACCTCGAATTACACCGAACGTCGTATGAGTGGCAATAAACTAACGTATCCGGGAGCAAATGAAAAATATTCTGAAACATCTTTAATACCACTGACGATCATCATCGTAGTTAAAAAGCACTGTGGCTAGAGAACAGCTGCCGTCGCTTTGTTGTATCCGACGTCGAAACACCTGTCAAGTTGCTTCGGAAACGAGACTAACTATCCCAAAGGTAACGCGACGACCCACATACCATATACGTAATTAAGTTTGAACAACGCCGAACGCAGCGAAAGAACGCAACAGTATGTACTCCGTATGAGTATATACACGCGATAATGCTCCGAGTGTTATAATTAGGCGGCTGGAATTTAATAAGTATCCAAACTCGACCAATTTATGGGAAAAACGCGCGAGTATTGGGGGTCCGATCACTGGCTGCATGTGCATCGTGTGTAGATTACTCAAGCATGTACAGTACTGTACAAAAATGCTTCGTTATTTGAGTGACTCTGAGTAATAGTGGTCTAACTAGTATTTCTGAATTCTTGAGAAAGAAAAGGTTCTGTGAAATGTTTATGGTTTAATTAAATACAAATATTGTAATTACTAATATCAATAACTGATGATAACTAATATTGTTGATTTAATTTTTTATGTAATTAATAGCACAATGTTATCAATATTTAATGAATCTCAGAACATTTCACAAAATCTTATTTCTCCTAAGAACTTAGAAATAGTAGTTAAATTATTGTTACTCGGTTAAACCACTAATATTACAATTACTAATGTTAATAATTAGTATTATTACATCAATGAAATTATCTGAAAGTATCTAATTCATTCAAAAATATTTCACAAAAATTATTTCTCTTAAGAAA